GAACTATAGTAAAATGGCAGGTAGTGTGCTTTTGGAGGAACTGGCAAAAACATGAATGATTGCAAGAAAACATCCCTCATATATTATACTAGATAGATACTGTACCATAGCATTACACAAGGACAATCCCTTGGCTCTTGCCATAGAGGTGCATTTTATGATGCATAATCTCAGGTGTATGCTTTGAAATGTTGGAACCACTATATTGTATTTATTTTGGATGTGTTCACTACTGACATTTGTACTAGGACCACTTTGAAATGGGAAGGCATCTGATGTTGTTTTGCCTCCCAGCTTATGGCTTTGTTTAACACAAAAAACCTTATTTTTTTTAGCAATACTTATCTTTGGAACTCCTGCTTCCTTCAAAGGGGAGTGGTTAGCAAACAAATACATTTCTAAATGCTGTCCATCTTGCCTTTAAAAATAAGTGTTCTCCTTCCAATAATCACCTATGACAAAGCTGATAGATCGATGATTAGGTATTGCTGTTCAGATTATTTTTCCTGTAAAAATGTTATACCTATAATGTGATTTGTACTGCATTCTTGAATAATCCACATTTCTATAACAAAAATAAGGATCTGCAGATCATTGTTATTTTATTGATCTGTATGGCCGTTCTCCAGCATCCATGGAGAAGCCATTGGGCACTTGTTGAGTGTACCAAAACCTTACAAAGGAAACACTTCTGTCCCAAAAGAACAAGAGCCCCACCCATGCAGATCCCCTTGCTGGGTTATCGGCATATAAAGCTCAAATAATCTGTGCATCTGAATCTGCAACCTCAGCAAAGTGCACATCTGGAAGCAAAGCAGCAGCCTAAAACCATACATCAGATTCTATCTGCATGGCCTGTCAACTGGCAGGAAGGTGTGTTCACATCCTGTTACCTTTTTTAAAAAGACCATGCATATATTTGGACAGGATCCTTTTGAGGTTCCTCTTAAAAACAGGTGAGGGCTAGTGAAATAGTTACAATTTTTTATAAAAAAAATCTCTCTTTGCTCCCAATAATTGTTTTCATGTTGGTTGAGGCCATTTTTCCTGATTGCTGTTACAGCTGTTGGTTGTCTGTCCTCAACAACTATATTTTGACTGGTTTTATATATATTTGTGGAAAGAGTTGTGGCCACCTGAGGATGTGAATTTTTTCCTACTGTACTTGAAACTTACTGTGAGAGCAAAGATCAGAAGTAGTCTACCACACTTGGACGCCGTTTACTTCCAAACTATGTGGCAAAAGTTGGAATGTATGTTCCATCTATTTCAACAGAACTTACTTGCTTCAAAGTAATGTGTTTAGTGTTAGAGGGTTGAGAACACTGTACAATCAAATCCAAACTGTCCACTGAAAATATACTTACCTTTGGCTTGTTTCCATGGATAGTGTTAGGTATGCTCCAATACTCTCATTAATGCTGCAGATTTTCATTTTACAGTAACAGCCCAACAGTACTCCCGTGTTAGAGGAGAGGCTGCAGCTGAAATATAGCAGCTTACTAGTGGATCCCAGTGAGACCTGAATCCAGCTCTCTCCTCTGATGCAGAGACTATGATGCTACTATATATTTATAGTTTATTGGCATTCAGAAAACTGTCTATTGAAACCATGACAGATTTGTAGGATTCCACTCTAGCAAAGTTTATAAAATTCAGTTGTGAACAGCCCTGTGCCCCTAGCTGGAAATTTGCTATAGCACAACAGTGAAAAAGAAGACTTTGTTTTCACAACTACTGTTTTGTACATAAAAAACTATGACGTACTGTAATGCAATGCAATGATGGTGAAGCTAATAAACTTATGATTATCAATAAAGCAGGAGATTTTTCTTTCATTGTTTTATTTCTTACCTAGCTTTTGGGATGGTGTAAGCAGATGCAGCAAACATTCTATGCCAAACACAGGGACCTATTTCCTCTCAGTTGAACACAAAAGATCTTACTGAAATAAAGGGGGTTTCTGCTGGTGGAGCAGCTTTAACAGTTGCAGCTGGATATCAAACCAGTTCCTTCCACATTTTAACAAGAGAGCTGTAGTCTACAATACATTCCTTCAGTAAGAATGTACTTCTTTGCCTAGAAATCAACAGGGGAAACTGAACATGAGTTCCATCAGCGGCCTCTTCGTATGATGGCACTTCTTTGAAATCTGGCAGGCATTTGTGGAACTATTCAAGTAGCTCTCTTGACCCCATGCAGTCTGTGCACCAAACTTGTACCATGAAATTGTGATGAGAGGGGTTCTCTTGGTGGCTATTCCACAAAGGTGCAACTCCCTTGATTTGAAGACTTGCCAAAGCCCATGCCTGAATATTATGTGGCATTTGGGGGGGGGTCTTCTTTAGCCTGGACAAAGTAGATTTGGGATAGTTTTAACTCAGGATAGTATTCTTATACAGTGGGTCTCTTAATTATCAGTGTTGTTTCCTGCCCAAAGCACATGCAGTAGGACACACTAAATAAGGGAATGGCATTTACTATTTGACAAATTTCCAACCAACAATTCAGGTAGCTAAGCTTAGGGATTGTGGGAGACCAGCATGACTTTTGACACTTTCCTTGGGAGGAAGCAGTTCTGCACCCTCTTCATGTCCTATGACCAAGTGCTTTGAAATTTCCCTGAATTTCAAAAGCAGTTGTCTGGTCTGTTTTTCTTTTAAGTTAGATGTGAGGTTCTCTAGACTCTGGCCAGATCTTCCATGTGTACTGGAAAATGTCCCTTACAACATATGAACTTCGTAAACACAGGTTATCTTGTTACAACACAGGGTACAGCAAAATGCTTCTAAAACAACTAGTGAAAGGATTTGTTTAGCAGGCATTTGTATCACATAATATCAATTGCTAATGACAAACCTAAGTGCATAAGTAAGAATATCATACAGACACTGAAGATCTCACAATTGATTTTAGAAAATAATGTAATGGTGTTCTCAGTTTCCCATCTTCCATATACTTGTACTAACGTGGCAGTTTCCCTGTCCATCCCATTTCTGCTGAACCTTCCCTGTAGATTTCCATTCACATGGTAGAGTTAATTATTTACAGAAAGTTTATAATCATTCTTACGTCATGTTGAAAAAAGATGTGGGCCCAGTTTAGCCATTTCTCCACATAACATTTATTCAGGATTACATACTCAGTCCTTGCCCATGAAAGCACTAGAAGTTTTCAGTTCAGTTTTCAGCATTAGAATCCATGGCCATCTAGTTATCCACATGGTCAAATCCATTAACATGCTTGCAACAAGTGCCTTCTCAACTATTTTTTAAGAAAAGCTTGGTATCTTAGCAAGTTTTCTACCCAGATAAATTCACTTTAAAAACTGGTGTCAATATGTCTTCCTCTGTTCCAGGATTCTTGGCAGCTTTTGTATACTTGGACAAGGCAGTCTAGACGTGGCTTGGAGCTCTATATATAAAGGAGACAAGAGAGACTCAAATGGCTGAAGAAACTGCAATTGAAGCTGAAAGATTAGGGAGGCTTCACCCAAAGCCAGCATGGCTACAGGAGGGAAAAAAAAAAAAAGAAGGTCTCATCTAGGGATGGGGGAGAAATTTGATTTTGTTTGCATTTAATGTGAACCTACTGAATTCCCACTTACTGAACAAAATACACAAACCAAAACAGCTATATTTTGAAATTCACACTACTCTGAATTTTGCTATGCAATTCCTCAACCAATGTCTACAAAAATGCACATCTTAGAGAAAAGTGTGCATAAAATGCACATATTAGTGAAAATGACATACAAAATAGGGGAGATTGCTCGCAATAAATGTAAACATCAACATCTAACTCGGTCACACACACTTGGTGCACACAAACACTCACCTGTCACTGGCACATACACCTGACACACTCTCACCTTTTTTCTCTCATACATGCACCTAGACACACTGAACCCAGGCAAACACACCTGACACACAAACGTTATCTCTCTTACCTGACATTGACAGCACATGCTCATAGTCCCACCCTATCTTTAATTCTACAAGTTCCTCTATGTAAATCCAAGTTCCCTGATTGGCTATACTGACAAAAGTAGAGAGAGAGGAAGGCAGAACAGCCAGTTTGGAGGGACCAGCCACCCCACCAAAATGCTACATCATATGTTCTGTTTATGTGCTTGTTTTGTTTCTTTTCTGGAGACAGGGTATATGTCCCTGGTTTGCTGCTGGCTAGGATTTCAAAGAGCCTATCGGCTGATTTGAGATGATGGACAAAAACAAGCTGGAAAATGAATTCTCCATTCTCTGTAAGTAAAAATGTATGGATATAAGCAATGTGGAGGACAGGGGTGGAGAAACAGGGTCGCCCTTTCTGAAGAACATCCACTGCTGCAGAGACTAGTCTGAATGATCAGAGCAGTGATGTTTTAAAAAGGCCTAACTTCTTAAGTTTTATCCAAACTATGTCTTCACTGATCTGGTCAGCCACAAAATAAATAGTAGCCTAGAACACACACCCATGCTAACACAATAGAAAGGGCATAAAATTATAACTTTCTACTGCTACTGAGCTGGGCCAAAAACTAAGAAATATTTATGTATTTAACTCCTCACCTCTGCAGTAATTTCCCACTCCATCCCACCCACCCTTTGCTCTCTGAGTCCTAATGCCTTTGAGCTGCTGAAAACAACTCTTAGTGTAAAGTCCATTTGGAAGCTCTCTTATTGAAGGTTGCCACTGAGTTTCATAGAAAAAACAGGTTAATTTAGTACGTGCTTATAGAAGTGTTAATTGGCTCAGTGAGATGGTAAATTGTATTCTTTAGAGCTGACAGAACTGAGAAAAGCAAGGGCTTAAATGCACCAAAGGGTGACAAGGGTTACTGCCCCACCTACCTGGGCAAGATCAACTATCCAGAAAGTTCAGCAGTTAATCCATGCTCAATTGAGCATGTCACTGCTGCGTCTAAGGTGCACTGAATTACAAACTAACAGCCACTCTATGTTCTTGGACCCAGGATTGAAAGGAAGATTCACGTAAAAAAGTGTTGTGTAGCACTGCAGAGTTCTGAAAATAAGAGGCCACAGTCAAGAGTCTACATGGCCTAACAAATATTTTCTACCATTTCTAACACTCCTGTGCACTTTGATGGACTCACCTGGAACAATGGTACTACCTCTGAACAACATGAGGTTCCCACGGGGTCTTGGAGAAGGATGCACAGGTAATAGATAACCTTTTGCTACAAAAACAAACAACACACAAATATAACAATGAGAAAGTTGTTCTGTGCTACCAATTATAAGATTACAACCCTGGTACAAGAAATCGCTACCCACATCTTTATCAGGATGATAATTTCTTCAAGAAAGGATAATGATATCCTAAAGTGGCCAGTAAGGTTTCCTTAGGTTTGAGCCACCTTATAAATTACCGGTATTTTTTAACCAACAGAGAAGAGAATCAAAGAAGTTTCTGGCCCCACCACCCATCTGCCCACTGAATTAAGAACTTAACCCCAACACACAGTTGGGCCAGGTCTGCAGCCATCCCTCTCCCACTGAGATCTGTTGGTGAGATTCCATTTAGAGTTCTTTCATTTCAAGGGGAAAGGTCAGCTGGTCCTGAAGAACAGAACAGAGCCCTTGGCATCTGACATGGGAAAATCCTTTCCAGACCAAAAAAAAAGAAGAAGAAAAAAGCAGCCCTCTGGTTGCTTAAGATATGAGATAATCAGCAGCATAGTAAAAGAAGTGGCATATTAGGCTTACCATATAGATGGCTTCATTGATGACCACATCTTTGACCTGGCTTATCTCTATAAAGGTTGTACTTTCTTTGCCAGATGCATAGGATGAAGTCATCTGTATTCCAAGTGAGCCAACAATAAGCAGAGACTCCTGGTCAATTTTCACGAAGTGCAGGTACACAAGCAAGCCTATCAGTGTGACAAATATAGCAGCAGAGAGCACCGCACTGTTCTGTAATAGAAACCAAGAACATTAGGCCAAATCCTTTAACTGAACCTGTTCTCTCAACTACTGATTTGAAGACATGATCATGTCAAACTTCCAAAGGACTTGAAGCAGCCTAACATTCCAGCTATTGAACAATATGGAATGAGATAATAAATACACAGTAATTGAATTGTGCATTATGCATGTGCCCTTCATGTCAAAAGGTTAAGTATAATCATCTTTATGCTTAGAGATAAAGAGGGGGAAAGGAAACAAAATCAATCATAGATTAATCTTATGAAGTAGTGTAATGAACAGAAAAGAGGCCTGGACATCTAATAGTCTTTCCATAGATAAATATAAAAACAAAGAGAATGGACTTTCACCTCTCTCACCTGCACTGTTTATCTAATTGTATTTTAATGGTTCCTGTTCATATATGTATTATTGGTAAATGAAGATAAATCAATTATGTTTTTAAAAGCACATGTAAACTCCATTAGTACAGTATAATGTAAGAACATGGGGTACCAAAAAATATAAAAAGGCACCAACTTTAACAACTATAGGGAGAAATGAGATATTTTAGAGACTATGCTGGGACAGAAGACCATTTTTTGAACATATCAAACCACAGGACAGCTTTTCACTTTTTTATCTTTCTAAAAAGAACATATAGGGTTTTTTCATGTACTTCTTTGTTTCTGGAATACTCTTGTGTAATTTAATATCTTCCTGACATATCCCTTTTTGTAAGCTACAGCACAGCCTTAGGACTGTTGACATTCCCAAAAATTTGTCCATCGGATTGCAGTCCTAGTTAATAATTCTGAACCGATCAATTCAGAGACATGGTGGGTAAACATAACTTACACAGCAAGCGCTGTACTTCCCCCTGAATATGAATACTTAGGTAAAGCTCTACACAACCCAGAATTTATTTCCAGCATTTAGAAATATTATTTAGTTCAAAAAGTTACTGTCTCTGAGTAATTGACCTTCTTTTATAGAGGAGGTTGTTGAAGCTCAATATGACTTACTCCCAAGTAAATGTATACAGAATTGTAGTCTAGCTTACCTGTTGTCTACTATTTTAAAACATGCACATTCTTATACTGAGAATGTGCAGTAAATTTACAAGCTGCTACAATCAGTCCATGCTAGATTTTCAAAAATCTTCTTTCTAAATCCAGGAATGAGAGAGCAGAGAAGGAAAGGCAATACTGGATCCCACACCTAAACATACTTAACTTTGGAAAGATACACAATAGGGCACAGAAAAGGCAATCAGATAAGACACTATCAGGTATCCTGGCAGACAGGAGAGAAGCAACACACTCAAATTTCTGCTGGGGACCACCTCTTTCTGTGATGTATGTATGATGTTTGGGGGTGGGGGTGGTCTTAAGCTACAGAGTAGGCAATTCCAAAAGTCTATATAAGAGCTTGCACACCAATGTTCTGGGTCCCTCCTCCCTCCTGCTTTGGTGGGGTGTTCACCCTGTTACAAGAGTTTAATAAAGATCAGGCTTACTAGCTGCTTTGCTTCTCAATATTCTCTGGTTGGCCTCTATTACAGTGGTACCTCTGGTTACGAACTTAATTCGTTCCGGATGTCCATTCTTAACCTGAAACCGTTCTTAACCTGAGGTACCACTTTAGCTAATGGGGCCTCCCGCTGCTGCTGCGCTGCCGCCGTGCGATTTCTGTTCTCATCCTGAGGTAAAGTTCTTACCAAGGTATCTTCCAGGTCTTAACAGGTCTGTAACCCAACAGTGTTTGTAACCCAAGGTACACTGTATTTTTCTCTAACCATAGAACCTAGCATAAGACTTCATATGGGCTCTTGGGATCCCCATAGGGGAAAGACAGTTTTTCTTAAAACACTTGGAAAATACACAATAGGTTCTCTCTTTCTTTTGCGTGCTACCTATTCTCTGCATGATAGGCTGGCATGTTCTGGTACTTGGACTAATTTAGGAAATAGTGTTACAAGGTTGCACGCCATCCCGCGAATCTCTGCCAAAGCAGTGCATTGAGATCTCCAAAGGTTCCAGGTGCTTCACTCAGGCCGTGTTTCTGATGAGAATCAAATACGTGAAGACTATAGTGTCTTGTTAAGAAATATGTTTTAATTACACATATTTACAACTGATTTATGATGAAAGGGGTGTAGCTCTACCTTGTCATTCAAGAGCCTTGTTCTTCACAGCAGCCCAGTAGTGCAGCCCAGGAGCCATCCTAAGCACCATCCCTTTGTTCTTGCTTCCCCAGACAGCTCTCTAGCTGCTGTCCTTCAACCCCACATGGTGTTCTCCTACTTCCCTTCTTGATCCCAGTTGTCCCCTGCTCCAAGCAACACCTCCCCATCTGTCTTGTATTCCAAGCCTAGTTTTTAAAAGGCACATATTTCCTGTGAGCATAGCCTGCCCCCTCCCCCGTTTTTTAATCCTAAACCTTTATCTGCTCCACAGTAAGCATAGCAACTGTTTTGCACAGACAAGGATTTCTCTGGGATGGGCCATAAACACCTTTTGTCATGTTAACAGCCTCTATCTGAGGTGAGGCTTTGGCTTGGAAAGGGAGCTTAGCCTGTTATTTTCCATTGGCCTGGAATCCTCCCTTCAATACACCAAATATTATCTAAATACGACTGTTCATTCATTTCTACCATTTACTAACAGACTCCGGTTCCCTAGAGCTATGATAATATTTATGTGTCAGAGATAAATATTCTAGGAACAGGACTAGATCTTCCATAGAATCCCACACAAAGTCAGAGGTTTCTACTGCAATTTTCTAAGCCTACTGAGACTTTTTCCAAGTAAGCATCATGCACAGGTCTACACTGTTAGGGATAGGGTTGCTGGCGAGCAGAAGGAACTTATTCATAGTTAAAGTAAAGGTAAAGGGGCCCCTGACTATTAGGTCCAGTAGTGGCGACTCTGGGGTTGTGGCGCTCATCTCGCTTTATTGGCCGAGGGAGCCGGTGTACAGCTTCCAGGTCATGTGGCCAGCATGACTAAACCACTTCTGGTAAACCAGAGCAGCGCACGGAAACGCCATTTACCTTCCGGCCGGAGCGGTACCTATTTATCTACTTGCACTTTGACATGCTTTTGAA